GCTAGAAGAGGACCCGATACCTTCAGGACCTGAAAGACAGAAATGACAGCACAGTACAGCCAAGCTTCACACAGTGACCCTGTAGCCCTGCCTAGGAATTTGAGTGTCTCTTCTCAGGCTAACTGGTACACCTTCAAAGGGCGTGATAGTTTCTGTAGCATGGTTGTGCTGGCAGCATTATGGACAAGTGGTACATCCATTAAGGTGGAATAAGAAAATGACAAGAGGCTGTTGTACCACTGATGAGGTGACAGCTTGTGCTGTGGAATGACCATATTGCACAAATTTAGGAGCTCTGGGTCTGCGGAGGGCGGCTTTAGCAGTCGCCTCTCAGAGCTCCCTGAAGAGTCACATGGAGGGCAGGAACCAACTGCACAGCAGGTCAGGTAGAGACAGTGCTTACAGGCCAGCTGGCCTGGGCTGTATTCTTCTAGGAAGGTTGGCTGTAAATTGAGCATAATTTAATGTATTGTTTGTGTAAACATTGTTAGGACAGGAGTACTGATTAAAGTGAATCTTCAACTGCTTACAGCTGTGCATCCTTTGGCACGTTAACTTCTCTGAAACTCAGTTTCCACTTTTGTAGTGTTAGTGTGCAAATCAGGCAATACTCTGCTTACTAGGGGGAAATAATTCCACTTGCATAATCGGAGTGAAGAGATGTGTTTGGCACACATAGGTGTTTAGCTGGAAAACTGTTATTATTCTCATGTCTTCATCATTTTAATTGTTGGCCAACCTGAGCTTTCATCCCTTCGCCCCTCCTTTCCCACGTGCCTTAAGGTTAGGGCCAAGATAGCAGTGACCTTGCTTATTTTCCTTTCCCAAGGAGTAAGAAGAGGGTGATGGGGGACTGTGAGTGACTTGCCCCCTGTGTTAGACTCCCTGGGGGGTCTTGCCTTTTGTTTTAACAAATTCTAACACATACCCTAAACTCCAGTCCCCTTCTAGCTTATCTTTTGCTGTGCTTGCCTCTGAGCCTTGGCATGTCCCCATACAAGAGTTCAGCCTGAATGAAACACTCTGATCTCCAGTTAGTGGGCGGTTTCTGCCCTTGAAGTTATCTTTATCACTCCTGAGTACTTGTCTGTGGAATGCTCTGTCATTGTGGGACTTCCAAATTTGTTCAGTGTTCACTGTCTTCTCCCCTCCTTCCTCCTTTTCTTCCCTCCGTTTTTTGTAGCCAACAAGGGTGTCCATCTTTCCCAGGCTTTGTAGCCATCTGCCCCGAGCCCTTCTCAGAACATCCGGCCCTGCACTTTCTTGGGTCGTCTCCCCTCTTGTGTTCATTTGGGTTTTCAGGACACTCTATGGGTGCTGCTGTGTAAGAGATGGGCAAAGGGAGTGGGTGGGTTCCCCCAGTAGAGCTTGTAAGGGTTAGTTAAATGCCTGGTAGAGAAAACTGTACAGACCATTTGGTGGAAAGAGGTCTTGTCAGGATAGAGCTTGTCCTTTGTGCCTGGTGATGGGGACAGTGGGGAGGGATGTCCCTGTCCAAAACAAACACAAGGATAGTATGAACCTGGGAGTCCTCATTCCCCTGAAGTGGGCGTGGGTAAGTGCGGGCAGGAAAGCTCTGCTGGCATGCAGAAGGCGGTGGGGCTGGATGGCTCAAAGAGCTTGCTGGTGTCTCTGACTGTGACTTGCATGGCATGTGGTCTTGTGAAAATTCAGCAGTGTTGCACCATCTTTTTTGCCTTTCATATCTGTTGGAAAACATAAACTCCTGGCTGTCAAGGTGATGGTCTGTCGGGGCTGCTTCAGGCAGATCTTTTTACATATGTTCATTGTCATGCTCCCCGAGATGTGGGGAGGTTTTGTGTGGCAGTGTCTAGATCAAGATGTATATTGTGTTTTTAAAAAGTGTAAAACACTTTTATTAAAAATGTAAGGAAAAGGTTAATTCTAAGTAAACATACACCATCTCTGTCAGGGCTACAAGTAGAGGCTTAGGATTTTCTAAGTGATGTTTATAACTTCCCTTTTGAGTATAGAAAGTCCCCACTTTTATTCAGTATATTGAATACTGCATAGTAATGTGGGTCTTCATATCCCTTACATGCAGCAGGAAAAAAAAAAGGAAAAAAATATAATGATCCACTTGTCCCTGTTCTTGAAACAAGAAAATTATTTTCAAAGTCGCTCAACTAGGGTAAGCCCCATAGACTTATTCTTTATGAGTATTTCTCAATTTGGGGATATATGTGACCCTGCTTCTCAAACTGGTGTGTGTTTCCCTTGGGGGGCATAATCTTGTGCTGGGGACCTACATGGCACATTTGGGATGCCATTTTGGGGGAGGAGGAAATAAAGTGTTTATATTTAATATAGTATTTCTCTCCATGGTGGTGTTACTCAGTTAATATAAAGACTTTTTAAAACATTAAATCTCTCCTCCATTTCAGTGTTAATATAAAGTGTTTGTTTATTTTTTATATTAAATCTTTTCTCCATTCCAGGCAAGAGTTTCCTCCTTCCAATTCATGTGCTTTGTGAATTTTGATACTGTGAAATATTACTTACGCAAATTTCAGCCAACTTATTTGACCCTCTTCCTAACTAGCAAATATAAATTATAGGCTGCATTTTCATTGCATTACCAGTTGTGAAAAAAAAACATTTTCATTTAACATATATACCTGTACATCAGTTTATTCCACTTAAAAGGGAAACAAATAAGAATATAAAATTATCCTATTTACTGTTCCTTGGGAACTTTCAGACACCAAAGCTCAGTTTTTAATCTCAATAGCACAAATGTTTTCAGGACGAGGTTTTATTCAGGAGGCTCTTCAAAGTCACATCCGCCCATTTCTCTTTCATGCATATATCCCCAAATAAGCACAGATGCCTGGAATGCAGAGAACCAGACCTAATGAGAGAGATTGTACCTCCAACTTCTACTGCTTCAACAGGCAGCACCAAAAGCAGTGAAATGAGGATTTAAGAACAGTTGTGTTGAAACTGGGGTTATGATGTTGGGACCTTGAAGTGGCTAGAACTTGAGCACTAAAGGTTTCAAAGAAACAATGCATGTATAATTCTGACTTGAAATCCTTCCCAGAGCTCTGAATGCTGAGGCTGAGAGGTTCTCTGTGACATCGCCTCCCAGGAAGCAGCCATTACAGGGATGACCAAGGAAGGAAATATGTTTAAATCAGCCGCTCACAGTCTGCACTGTTGATATTTTGGGCCAGATAATTGTTCATTGTGGCATCCGTTCTGTACACTGTAGGATGTTTAGCAGCACCCCTGGCCACTGCGTGTTAGATGTCAGTCATTCACCCCCAATTGTGGTGACCAAAATGTCTCCAGACATTGCCACATGTCCCTGGAGGGAGAAATCACTCCTGGTTGAGAGCCCGTGCTTTAAACAGACATGGGTATGATATGACCAAGAATGTAAAATGTACATGAACGTTTAATCCAAAAGAGCCACTTCAAAAAAAATAGATGTGTGCACCCAGCTCTTCTATTGCATTGAGGCGGAACTTAATGTTCTGGCAACTATTTTATTTTTCCTTTTTACCCTCCAACTCTTGAACTCTCAAATTCGGTATAATTCTTTCTCTTATTTGTTTATATTTCAAATTTTACTGCTTTATCAAAGTACTTGTCGATTGACAAGAGTCCTTAACAGAACTCCTTGAACATCAGGAGGCTTCCTACTTCTCTATTTCTAACCTTGCAGGCATGTCTCTACATTCGCTGGACAGCTTGGCCAGGTTTCTTCATTCTTAGTGGGAAATTAATTGGTACTAAGATCTGACATCATTCTAATCACAGTGCCAATGAATGTTCTCGGTCCTTTCTCACCCCTACCTGCTGGGTTGTTTTTATCCCCCTATAAACATTTAGGCACACCTAGGGCTAGACATGTTTTATTGTACATGTGCCAACCCTTGCAGGCATCTTTTGTGCCTTTTATTTTTGAGGCCAAATTCTCTAAATGCTTGTTAATCATTGGGTGGGGCTCTTTTATTAATCCAGTCATACTTCTGTTGTTTGAAATACAGAGGTTTTAATTTTCTTCTTCATCTAAACTTGACGGCATAAATTTCAGTAATTTCCAGCTTTTGACTTTCGTTCAGGTTTTCTCTTAGCTTGAAGCATTGCACTTTTCCTTGTTAAATAATATCAGATTCCCTGAGGTTCTCTGAGCATATTAGGTCCCTCTTGGATCTAGTAGTGTTGATCTCTTCCCCCTCCTTCCTTACCCTCTTAATCTCTCACTATTTTACTTCCCATTTTACAGGGTGGGGGACTAGGGGGGCACACTTGGATTTCTTTTTTATGTTTATGTTGTTTTTTGATCAGTATTGAATGTTTTGTCTCTGTTTTTTGTGTGGCCTTCCAATCCTTTTAAAGCTTATCTTGTCACCTACCTGAAATTCTGTGTGGCTACTCAATCCTAGATTGGTTTTATCTCCTCTTTAATGCTTTGAGTGCCCTCCCCTGCCTTTAATTGGGCACCTACAGGGAATTTAGAATTAATATCAAGGCAGTCATAGTAAATTGGCTATAACTGCACTGTGTAGTGTGGTTGCCATTAGCCCCAGGTGGCTAGTGAAATTGAAATTAAAATTAGACACAATAAAAGTTGACCTTCTTTCTTACACTAGTCGCATCTCAAGTGCTCTCAAGTGCTCGGTAGCCTTTGGCAAGTGACAATCACATTGGACAAGGCAGATGTAGAACATTTCCATCACTGCAGAAAGTTTTATTGGATAGTCCTGGGCTATAAGATACAGACCATAATACACATAAAAATACATATTTTTTAATCCCTAGTATTCTGATATTTTTGTTGAGATATGATCCTCCTTTCCAGGGGATATTCAGAATCACTGAGTAACTGTAAGTGCAGAGGGGTAGGGACTCGAAAAGTAATTAAGCAGTATGATTTTGGATGTTTGGGTATAATTTTTCCGTGAAGAAAATGTGATGACCATGGGTCCTGTGTTGTGTGCTTGAGGTGATTTGGCTTTTTCTTTTTCTAGGTGCTAAGAGATGGTGCTTATGGGGCTCATCTCTGCCTGAGAATAAGGTGCTCCAGGTGCTGGAATAGCCAAATCTGATCCTGGGCTCCCTGCTTGAACAAGCCTTCACTTTCAGTCACTCCAATCCAACAACGAAACGACACATTTTCTCTTAATGATGGGTATTGGTAAGAACACTACGTCCAAATCCATGGAGGCTGGGAGTTCAACCGAAGGCAAATATGAAGAGGAAGCGAAGCACCCCACTTTCTTCACCCTTCCGGTAACAGCATTCCCTGTCTTCCTTCCTTCTTGAGTCACTCTAAAATAATTTCTGTATTGAATCAACATAGGATTAGCTTTAACACTCATGTTTTCAGTGCAGGTTAAGGCACTTGAAAATCAAATGCTTTTCATGGAGCCACCTTCTGGAGTCCTGGTGGCTGTCTGGTTTTGGCCTTGCTCTCTGCCTGGAGTCACCTGACGGGATTAACTTCAGGAAGGAAGCATGCATTGCTGTGAATGTTGTAAAGCTGGCCCAGTACTTCCTCTATACTGGAGGATGTTGAAGGCTTAATTTTATCTCCAAAAATCTGTTCTTTTGAAATAGCCTGTAACCCGACTTCAGACTTGTGTTCCAATCTGGGAGACTGAATGAATGACTTATTGTTTGGAACCCAAATGTCCATGTTTTGCATTATGGTAGCAGTGTCCAAGACGGAGGTAGATTTACCTGGACAAATATTAGTCAGATAAGGCTGATGACACACATTCATTATATTCAGTGTTAATATTTTTCCAGATGTAGGATTATGACTTGATGTGCATAAAGTTACCTGAAGTGTAGGTTTAAAAAAGAAAACCACTCTTTAGAGAGAACTTACATCAAAGTGTTTTTCTCTTCATGTTGGAAATGAGATTATTGGCAAAGATGTCATTCCAGGATTCCTTAAAATATGGTTCTGGAATTTGTCTCACTGAGGCATTACTCCATAAGAAAAGAAAAAAGGGAATGTGACATCTTTAAGTACATTGGTTGACCTCACTCACATTCACATTTTGATTTTTACCCTCTTAATTCACAGAAACATGTTCTGCTGAATTTATGACTGACATTACTGTTTTCTTTCTTTATATAAAGTGAATTTTGAAAGTGGATTTTCTGTTGTATTGAAGACTTATGGTCGATTCAGGCTTTCTAGAGGAAGAGGCAAGTCATTTGTTCACGTTTAAATTAGATCATCTTTGAAAAGTGAACAGTAATGTTTCATGCCTGGATATTGACTTGTCTCTACCATACTGATGAGGTGTCGAGGCCGGGTGGGCTAACAGAGGGGATGTGTAGGGAGTGGTCGCTGAGGTAGGAGGAGAACCAAGGAAGCTCCATCCAGCCAGTGACGAAGGCATTGTGAGAGTGAGCTGGGTGAGGAATAAAGATGGACTGTTGGATTTAGCCAGGGCTGGGTCTTTTTGCCAGGTGACTGCGGAAGGACCACAGTTGAGGTTTGTGCGAGAGTGATTGTAGTGATGCTGCATGGGCCCTAGGTGGGGAAAAGGAGGTCCTTGAAGCCGATGTGTAGGATCTGTGTCTTCAGACTGTAAAAAGGCATTTGGGTCAAGGGTTTGGGAGACCTGCTGGGTCAAGAAAGTGGGGTCTTTGAGGGTATCTAGGAAGAAAGACAAGCAATGAAGAGCAGGGTAGCTTTGAGAGTGGTGGTAAAGGGGTAGATTGACCCGATTTGGTGTTGGGTTGGATGTGGGTTGTGAGGTACAACAGAAGTCAAGAAGGGCTTGAGACTGGGTACCTGGGTGTATGGTGGCACCCGGTGATGGAAATAAGAAATGCACAAACAAAACACAGGGTGCTCTTTTGGTTTGTTTTTAAGCTGGTACTGAGAAGTAATGAATTGATAGAACATAAAATTAAAGGTTCTGCTTTTTCATGATACTTTGTGTCCATTTAGTCAGGAAAACACGGATTCTTTTGCCCCTGAGGAGTCTTCCCTCTTGTCTTCTCTTGGCCAGGAAGCAGATTTCTTGCTTTTTTTGCTGAGAAAGACCAGCTGAAATCAAATGTGAACACTGTTTACATTGGCATCTTCTAGCACAGAAAATAATTTTCCAATTTATCTATTAGAAAGAGGTTTGTAAAGCAGGTATGTGCAGGCATGATTTAATTTAATTCCTTTCTTTCTGTGAGATGAGAGCTTGAATCTATTGCATAATGGTCATGGTTTAGGGTAGGGGATGCTCTTGATAGAGTCAAACAGCCAAGATGAACAGCTTTTCTTTTAAAACGTGTAAGTTGAGAAATTTTTTTTTAAAGAATTATGCCAATGTATGTTTTCAGATAAAAACGTTGAAAAGATGGGATGCAAATGAAGGTTTTTACGCATGGTAAGAGGTTCCTTTCCTTACCTCTTCTTTCTTTCAAGAGTTTTTGACCTTAAAAAGTAATTTTTTTCTGCACTGATTTTGAGGTTACACATGGTTGCTTATATTGCAGCTTGCTTTTAATTTGGATCGAGTTTTGATAGTTTTACTGAAATGCAGATGTGGTTATACTAAAAGCCCATCTAATGGGACATGAATAACTTGGTATAAGTGTTCATAAATGACAGAGCTGCTGCAGTTACTTCCTAGAGTAGGTTTACAACGTTGATCCACATTTCAGCTGATAATTTCTTAGCTATAATCACAAGCTCTTGGTCCTGGAAATGGTCTTCAAGGACATCTTACTCATTCTGCCCATATTCAGTGCTTGCTTTGTGCTCCAGACTGTACCAGACTTGGCAGGTACACAACAGACGTGGTTGCCCAAGCTTCTTGCCTTCCCCACCCTGTAAGGCACACTCTCAGCATCGTCTCTGCTGCCACTGCTTTCTTGGGGTCATTTCTTGTCTAGATCACTATGACAGCCTCTAGATGGTCTTCCTGGCTTTCAGCCTTATTTCTTTACAACCCCTGACTGTCATTTCTGCCTGTGTCTTTTGCATTCCTAGACTCCTTAAGACTTCCTCTACTAGGTATAGGTGCCTGCTGAACCACTGACCTCTAAATTATCCATTCACTCCTAACCTGTGTTCACCTAAGCTAGGTAGGCAGGCTCCTGACCTTTAATGATTAGAGGAAAGATATTTCAGATAGATTTCTTACAATGGAAACATAATCTGTTGGAGAAATAGCTAATTTCCTGTTGGGATTTGATAAAGTAGTCCAGGAAGAAGATAGGGTATGGGAGGCTGTATGGTAATAGTAATTACCCAGTGGTTTCTGCTGCCTCTTAATTTTACATGTTTTAAAGCATCCATATTTCATTGTACATGTGTGGTATCAGAATCAAATGGAAATAGCAAGAAAAGTGATGTGTCCTGTCTCTATATCTTTTTAGTAGTCTGCATATATATCTTTCCTGTCATTGCCTTATTATTGGTATATAACTTCATTTGCAAAAGAAATACATTTACTACGTAAAATTTAGAAAACATAGAATGCTGGAATAAGGAAAAAATCCAAATCATTTAAAATCCTGTCAGCCAGAAAAACAACTTTCTTATATTTTGGTATATTTCTTTCAAGAGATGAAACAAGTCGTATTTTTTTTAAGGTGAGCTTTGGAAGGCTCTGCAAAGAGACATTTCAAAGGTGTGTTAACCTCGATGCACAGAAACAATGGACAGGGCTTGCTTAAGGCAAAGATAAACCTCTTTCTAGGGAAGTTATATGCCCAGGGAGTGACTACCCACCATGACCTGCCTAGTTGGGAATTTATGATCCTATCCCACTGTGAGGTTACTTTCTGTACAACCCCTTTTCCACCTACAGCTTTCATTAGGACCTTGGGTTATTTCTAGTTCATTAATGTAATAAATGATAACCTAGTGTGTGTAATCTTATTGCAATAGTTTATATTTCCAGCAGCTCTGAGAGAAGACCTCCCAATCAGTACTAGATACTAGATTTAAAAAGCAGCAAATTAGTACATGAAAGACTGGTATCTAATTGCTTTAGTTTTGCATTTTAATAAGTCAGAACACTTTCATTCCTGTGTTCCTTGGCCATTTATATTCTTTCTTTTGTTAGTCTCTATCTTCCTTACTACCCTCCTCCCCATTTATTCTGTTGAGCAGTACTGATAATCAGAAGTGCCACAGAACTATTAGAAGTTACAATTGCAGAGGAAATCCCTGTATCACATAGCAGTTTGAGGGGAGGCCTGTAGCAGTGCCAGCTTTGACAGAGCTGTGCCTGTCATTATCCATGGCCCCGGGCTCCATCTATGGAGAGCAGCTTCTTGTTGTGGGCTTACCTTTGGGGCCTTAAGTGAAAGCCTCAATTTACAGTACCTCCATACCTGTGCAAACCTGGGCACTTATTCATGCTTGGAATTGCAGGATGTTCGAGAAGTAAATGAGATCATACATATCAATACCAGATCAGATACACAGTAGGCAACTAATCAGTGTTTGTCTCACTTCCCTCCTGCGTCTTCACCATGGCCCTGGAACCAGAGAACAGTGATACAGAAGGGCAGGGAGGGATCTGAAAAGGACCTCATGCCATGACTGTTGTACAGATGTGATGGGCTGTGGGAAACAGTCCTGCCTGACTCACCTGGGAGACTTCTTCCAGGGCTAACAAGTATGTGGGCCATAGAGGGTGGGGACCAAATATGGAGCAATTATTTACATATTTTTTAAATCCTCAGTCAGGATCCTGGAGGAAAGAGCTTAAGGCCTGGAGTGAGATCTCAGTGCAAATGTGGCTCAGACCCTGAGAGGAATTACTTAAGCTTTCTGGCCATTAGTTTTCTTCATCTGTAAAAAGGGACTAAACATAACGTCTGTCTCAGGCTTGTTACAGGGATTGAATGAAGAAATATATGTAAATTTGAGGACTTCTGGCCAATATGGTGGTTTAGGTAGATACACTTTGCCTCCTTGCACAACCAAAAGAAGGACAGCAACAAATTTAAAAACTTTAAAAAAAATAAAGAATTTAAAAAAAATAACCAGAAGTGCTAGAAAATTGAACTGTATGGAAGTTCGACAACCAAGGAGCTAAAGAAGAAACATTTGTCCAGACTGGTAGGAGGGGCAGAGACAGACAGCTGGAGCAGAGAGGATGTGCAGCAAGGCAGAGGTTGGAGGACCTGCTGGGCGAGGCAGCGACTGGTGGACTGGGTGGTCCCACATTTGCATGTGGCTAAACCAGGAGGAACAGCTGGGTAGACAGACCACACAACCCTGGGTTCCACCGTGGGAAAAGAAAGCCTCCAACCTC